ATGACGTTCCAACATCGGCATCGTAGAAAATGGAGGCGAAGACAAGTGCCAATATTTCATACAATTCAGCCTCGGTAAAAATGCCCCTGGGATTAGACTCAGTCTTCAGGGGCAGAGAGAACACATTTGCACAGAAATGGACCTGGGCGTAATTTGCGACGTCTCGGACGATATCGACCTGATTGGTTCCGCCCAGCTTGTAAGAATGCTGGCGCAGGAGTTTTATGGTGATATCCTCATAAAATCGCTTCACCTCACTCTCCCACTTGTCGCGGTATAGGGCCGAGCCCATCATCCGGCGCGATGCAGCGTTGGGTGGCTTGTCACCAGACAGCATGAAGTCCCGGCCATAAGGGTGATTATTGTGGCGCATCAGGAATTCAATCTTGCTTCCCCAAGTTACCTTAAATGCCTCTTGGTCGTTGAGAACGGAAATACAGGCCGCATTAGAGCTGATAAATTGCGGCGTAGGCGTATAACTCGGTCGGCCCCAGCTGTAATCCTGAGCAACCGAGAGCTTCTCAAGGATCTTCTTGTTCTCAGATGGGATGACCAGAGGAAAGTGTGCGTAAATTGAATCGCCTTTGAAGTGATTGGGAAACGCACGCAGCACCAGTTTGTAAAAGACCTGCCCTTGGTCAACTGAGTCCTGAGGCTGTATTTCGTTATAGGCCCAGTTTGTGAGATGCTTTGGCGTGTAATCCACCGTATAGAAACGGTCGCCACGGACAAGGGAAACCGCATCGGAGAGAATAGCCCTTGATATCGTGAAGTTTGTGCACAAACCACTTCCAGGCACTATTGCGTCTTTCGTAGCCTCGACGATAACACCGGGATACATCTCCACCAGGTCAGGTTCATCATACAGATTCTTGAGCTGGGCGGCAATGTATGGATCAGGATTGATTTCCTCGAAGGTCTTGTAGGGCGCAAGGTCGAAAAACTTGCGGAATTCGTTCAGGGTAGCCAAGTTCCAAGAACGCGCCTGCAAAATACCGAGGGCCTCGATATTTCTGAAGACCGATGGAATGTTGCCGGCACCAAAGGCACCGGCACAATCCTCAACGCCATCCGCAAACATGTTCGCAAGGTCGTCATCATCAAAGGCACCATCTGCATTACGCTGTAATCCAGCAAATGGACGGTCCGGGGGCTGCTCTGGTAAGCTTGCTTCCCACTTGGCCACGCCCCTTAGAAATTCCGGTAGAGAAACATTGTTGGGATCCTTTCCTGGAAACAAATCTTTGTACAGATCCTGTGTCCATTTCTCGTCACGCTGAGAAATGCAAGCATGCCAGCGGTAGACGAGATTGAATTCAGCAGACACCTGGTTGCCCGTGGCTTCCGCTGGAGCGCTTCCTAGCAAGCTATCCTGGATATCAGCTCGAGGATCTAAGCTCCACAGACTGTCTGTTCGATTGATATTCAATATGGTCCGAACGTAGTCCTTGAGAATGATGTTTATGTATAGACCACACGTGACCAATCGACCCGTCTGGAAGAGATCGTTGTCGTATCTCGTGCTGGCGTCGACATCAGACTCATCTGGCTTGGTAAAACGGCCGCCTTCATTGATAGTCGCCAAATTTTCGACAACATAGTTGTGGAAGCGGTTGAACATCAGCAGAAGCACGCCGACGCCAGGAGGGAAACCGAGAACTCGTTTGCTGGAAAAGCAGTCCGGCTTGAGTTTTCCATCCTTGAAAGTCCTGACGAGGTTCTGCTCGTCTTGATTGTTGCCGTAGAGAGGTGAAAGATCCAGATACGAGGAGGTCTTGTTCAGAGTATAATCATTGCGATCCGTTTGGAACAGATCTTTGAGCATGTCAGTTGGGAGATCTTGTTAAAACCAAGGATGATTTAAGCAATGCGTACCGTGAATAATGACGGAAGCGAGGTAGAACAAGACACTGGATATCTTGTTCGGATGCTCCTTGTATTCCTTTCTTTCCAGGAGGGACTCGAAAAGCGTGCTCGGATCCGGCAGCGAAGGCGACTGAACAGTTGTTGGCCGTACAGACCTGGCGTAGTGGCTACCAGCTGCTCCAATATGAGGCCAGAGGAAGTTCTATCAATGGAGAGTTAACAAACACCTTCCAGAAGGGTTCCGGGCGCACTATACATTTCCTGATCCATCGGCCTTGCGGTAAGAAGAATCCCGGCCTAGGTATCTACACTCCTCAATTAGTGTCATATAGAATGTCATGTCACAATAAACTTACGAAATCGGAGGATGTTCCAGGTCATTCCAGAGCTGCTTGAGGAAGGTGTTCGTCAAGTCCTTCCCACTCTTAGAAGTCGAAGGGAGCCCGGCAGCAAGCTGGACTCGGTCAGACGGACTCAGCTGGCTCAAAAGGCAAGAGTAAGCACTTACCTGAATGACTCGCTCCATTATATAATGTCTATCATCGACTGGTTGGCCTGTTACAGCATCCTTAACGACCTCCAGCAGGGCCTTGATATCAGTAAGGTCGACATGGCTGAGGTCCTTGACAATTCCCGTCTGAGCAGGCTCAGTGACATAGGTCCCGTTTCCAGTCGCCGTAGGTAGAGGCCGCAAGGATGCCGAAATAGCCTTTTCAACCTGGGAAATTGTGTTCCCAATGCCGTTCACAATGAAATGATTATTTGAGCCAGACATTGCGTATAGGGTTAATATTATACAAGTCGATGTCCAAAAGGTACAATGCCGCTGCATACGCGAAAAGCCAAGATCAGCATGATGCTCCAATTATGCTTAACCTCGACTCTACAAATAAGAAGAAAGAGGGGTCGATAGATCTCCATCTCATGATTCTAGGACTATGGATTGTCCCAAAGAAGACCCACCTCATGAAGTCATAGAAAGGTTGCTCACCTTGGGAGTCTAGACGTTCTGGAACCGCGCCGGCTACCAAGGAATGCGAACGGCGAGGACGTTGAGTTGCGGGGAAAGAACTTAGTTAGGTAAACAAGAAGGGTATCAGTTATAGACAAGAATAAATCCCCTTGGTGATGGGAGTTGAGATATATACTATGAAGCAGGGGACTCAATGCGAGAATGCGCATGAAAAAGTTGGGGGAGATTAAGCAAGGAAAGATATCCAGAGAAACGGTCTTTATAGGATCTTGTCAGCGTCATAGCAGCGGCCGAAGAGAGTAACAGCCGAGTCGGCAACCCCGAAGCGAATGATTAATACTACTAAAATGTCCACGGAGCGATAGCAGACACTGGGCGTCCTGTCCGTAACGAGAAATACCCCATTGGACGTGACAGGCGAGCCAGAGAGACTTCTGATTCGCGTGCATGAGACATGACCTGGGCGCAGTTCACACCGTATGCAAGGCTAACAGGTGGATGCGGACTATGATCGAACGTGCCTTAGCACCAAACTCTCGATGGGTGGCCTTATCCACACTCTAGACAAGAAGTATGGCGTGCGCAGCCGAAGAAGATACGAGGGATAGTCATGGATGGACCGTATCGTGAGGCATTGGACGGGTGGCCCTGGCAGTGGCAGACCCCGACAAACCAGACTGGCGGGGACTCTCAATTTCAGCCGGGCAAAAACCCGGTCGATCTGCGGCTGGAGCTTCAAGTTAGCGAAGGCGGGTGGGAAGAGCTGAAAAAGAATTGCCAGAAGATCTTGCAAATCCAGCGCACTGTATTTATTATTATTCCCCACCCTCCTATTCCATCGCGTTCTCTCGGGGACCTGTGCTCGATCCAAAGTTTGCGAGGTGCCCTTGACACTTGGTCGGGGTTACTTGTACTTCATCGGGTAATGGTTGACAATACGGTCAATTCGGGGATCGGAGGGGGGAGAGATCTTAGAGTATAGAGAGATCCTATCAGAGCACCTCCCTTTCATTCCCACCGATGTCAGTGGGTAAAATTATCTAGTGGCCAGCACGAACTGCATGGATAGTCTGGCTTGGGATGTGGTGAGTGGTAAGTGAGTTGCTGTCAAGTGAGTGTGGGCTGGGCTGCTGCTTGGTACGGGGTAAGTAGTAGATGAAGGTATGCCGCTAGCACCGAGCTAAAGACGGAGGTGCTAAATGGGCGGGGGCAAAAAGTGAGGAAAGGCTGGCTGGCTGACTGACTGGGACTAAGAGCGCCACTATTTACACACTGTCGGATGAAGCTGAACACTACTCTATCAGGGCTAGCCAGCCCCGGTAAGTGACCTTGACAATCAGGACAATCGTAGCGGGCGCATATGTTTGGCTGACTTGCTCATACACAATGCCGTTCATAATTTTCAGTCTTGATTAATTTCTGATGTCTCCAATTACGCCATCTCCTTCTGTATTATTTTAATTACCGGCAATACTTCATTAATTGCAATGGCCTCAAGTCGAGATTATTCCGACATATAAGTACATACTACTGTGTAAGTAGTACTAACAACACGCAACGAAAAGAAAAAAAGAAAAAAAGAAATTTAGAATAATGCGGTGGATCCACTCAATCGGCGAATGGCATAATTCTTGGATTACTGATATGTCAAATGTTCTGTTAACAACAAGCCATGTGAGATGCAGTAAGAAGATAGCACATTGTAGCGGGAAGGGAAAAGATAATAAGCACAAAGGAAGAATGGGAAAAGCAAAAAACAAGACCAATATACTTAGTAAGATAGGTAAGAACAGGGAAGGGCCTTTGAGGACTCTCTGTCAGCGTGACTGTGACGGAAGAAGTACCGGATTGGAATTGTTTGTCCCTAACTATGAAGTACACAGATAGCACTAGTCTCGTATGGAGTAGGTAGTTAACAATCCTTCCGGGAAACAAAAACATACCCTTATTTTGCAAGAGTACCGAGAGTAGTACTATAGTTCAGCAACCAAAAGTTTGGACCCCGGCAGATCGTCCCACGTGATACTTCGCGGGCCGAGGAAGGAATGCCTGGGGTCTTAGTGGTGTATTATTAGTCTGGATACACTAAGCAGCTCACTAGTCCGCAATGGCCTCTTGGACTAGCCGCATTTTGCTGAGCAACTTCTCAACAAGTCTGTCGCTTCCGATAACCGGGTACACCTGCGCCATCAATACTATCTTCCTCGTATACGAACCCTGGCACTGTGCTCTTACCTCAGCTCACGTGGAATAATCCTCAGATAATATCCTCTGTGCCTGCCGGGTCATTACGAGCTTGCGTGTCTTCAGCCTAATCCCAATGGCGTCCCTGACTCTAGTTGTTGAGCCCCGGGGTAAGTTTCCTGGCCACCAGCAGTCAAGGTCAATTGATATGTCCGAACCGAACTGACATTGGCTCTCCATCCTCTAGGCAAACCCATCAAGAAGCTCCCCAAGCAGGTTCAGGTGTCCTCCAATGCCTCAACCGCCGAAATCTACAACAAGCTTGCGGAAGCCTCGGGCTTCTCCATCCACCGTCTCCGGATCACCAAGGGTAGCGATCGCACTGTAGTCCCCAACTCCAAGGACTCAACCGTCGACGGAGTTGGTCTCAAGGAAAAGAGCGTCTTGCACGTCAAGGATCTCGGTTAGTAGAATAAGCTGACACCAGACCCTTCCCCGTCTACACCATCTACACCACCGCTATATTCCCACCTCACTCACTACCACACTCTATAATCTTCAGGCCCCCAACTTGGATGGCGCACCGTCTACATTATTGAATACCTCGGACCGCTCTTCATTCCGGCTCTCTTCCTCTTCCCCCTCCGTCCATATGTCTACTTTAACTTCGACAAGCCACTTCCCGAGCCATCGCAGTTCCAGCTCCTGGTCTGCGCCCTCCTGACCATCCACTTCATCAAGCGCGAATACGAAACCGTCTTCGTCCACCGTTTCAGCAATGCCACCATGCCCGCGCGCAACATCGTCAAGAACAGCGGCCACTACTGGGTCCTAGCCGGCCTGAACATCGCCTACTGGGTCTTCCGTCCTGATTCCCCCGCCGCCACCATCCAGGACTCTTTCCTCCTCTACAGCGGCCTGGCATTGTTCATTTTCGGCGAGCTTGCGAACCTAAACGCTCACCTTGTGCTACGCGACCTGCGCCGTCCCGGTACCACGGAGAGAGGCATTCCCTCCGGATTTGGCTTCAACGTCGTCACCTGCCCCAACTACTTCTTCGAGGTTGTCAGCTGGGTGGGCGTCTACCTGCTGAGCGGAATGAGCTGGAGTGTCCTGTTCTTCATTGTCGTCGGTACCGTTCAGATGGCTCTCTGGGCCAAGAAGAAGGAGCGCCGCTACCGCAAGGAGTTCGGTGACAAGTACAAGCGCAAGCGCTATGTTATCCTGCCTGGTCTGTACTAGGCAAGAGCATGTTGCGTTGAGTAAAAGTACTATGCGTAACGTGCGAGGTTGTCAACCTCGCATACATTTGTCTTGGCATTGGCCAAGGTTTACTCGGGACCTTGCATGTACCTCGACTGCGTTCGGGGTTAAGGTGTGGTGAGAGATGAATGGTTCTCGACATCCGAGAAGATTACGGCGGAGTTTGTTCTCTGCATGACAGTTTTGTCCTTCGATGTGTAACCTATTACGATAGATTATAGTCCGGTTATTAGTTATTTTACGAGAGTTATGCGGAGGGTTCTAATTATTGACGTGGACGAATAATAATCATTTTTAATTTGAAGCAATAATGCTATTGGATTGCGAGGTATGGAGTAGTACTAGGTAACTCATGTAGCATCGGAGTGAATGCGCTCGCTTCTCTATGGGATTAATATCACAGTACCAGAGGTCCGAAGACAATTTGTTCAAAAAAAAAAAAAAAACTCCCAACACCATTAAATAAGCAAAATCATACCCAAACTCCCCCAAAAGCAAAGGTGGACATTACATTTGAAAAGCGAATATAAGAAGACAGAAGAGAGAAAGAAAGAAAGAAAGAACGAGGTTACTCGTTCTTCATCTTCCCTGCCCAAAGCCGATAATACGGCTCCATTTCCTTCTCGCAACTCCGCTTCGTGTCGGTGTCACAGCCAAGGAATCGAATGACGAAGTCACCATCCTTATAGACGCCGTCCACGGAAGCTCCGTTCGAATCCTTGCTGTAGGAATTGATGGTCCGCTGTGGAACCAGAGCCAATCTGGCCAAGATGGTCGGGTGCCATTGCACAATGTGATCCTGATGACGTGGGTTAGTTACTTAATCTGGTGACAGGGGGAAAAAGCAAAAGAAGGAAGCAAAAAAAAAAAAAATAACAGAATTTAATAAAGCGAGCACCCGACTAGAGGTGTACGATGCATAATGAAAAACTTAAAGACGGAAGAAACGTAATCTATCTCCTCACTTACCAGAACGTGGGTCTCGGCCTTCGCAAAGTTATAGCTAATGTACAGAGGGTCGAACCAGAAGTCGAGGAAATATTTGGCAAAGTCGCCCTGTCGAAGGAGGAAGCTACCGGAGCTCAAATCCTCCGCATCGGTGGTCATAATGAGATCGACATCTTGGGGCTGTAGATGCGAGAATGTCTTGATGATGCTATCGGGAGGTACGACGGAGACGTCCTTGAGCATGAGGGATTCGAGACGGTCGTTGTCGAGGACGTGCGATTCGAGTGATTTGCTCGGGTTCATTATTAGGGCATGAGCGTCTAGGTGGAAGAAGTATTTCGAGTAGGGGTTGGAGGCCATCGCGTGACGGAGGGCTGGGAGGACGGCCCAGGACTTCGGGGCGTTGTCGAGGACGGTTTCATAGTCGGACACGTTGGCGAAGAAGTTCGTATAGCCTGGATTGCAATTGTAAGACATGGGAGTTACTCAACACGGGGGAAGTGACTGGGGCTATTGTCGCCTTACCATGTCGCTTAGCATAGTCCTCTCTGTTCTTCACGATCTTCTGGATGTACTCGTTACTCCAAGCCGTCCGGTCTAGAACGGTGACGACGACGATGCTGGATGTCCCTGCTGGTACGGCGGGGGCCCCTGTACTTGTGTAGAAGAACTGGGAGAGAAGGAAGAAGACGGTGAGCAGGGAAAAGCCCAGGATGGCGACTGCTTTGAGCTGTTTCCTGCGCTGGAGTGAGATTCGCGACGAGCGAGCGTACGGAGGGGTTATCGGAGTCCTCCGCGGAGGCAGGGCGAACTGCATGATGGGTGTATTTGTCCCCAGCGAGTAGATGCTGGGCGACTGTAAAGGATGTAAAGATAGTCAATTGCAGCTCCGATAGATCAGGACATTCTAGCACGTAGTATGAGCTTGGAGCGGAGGCAGCATCAATTGCTTGTAACTGATCCGGCTTCACGGGCTCCTCTGCCGGATCCGGAAATGCGCCCGCGGATCTTTGTTGGTCCGAAAGATCGCAGCATTCCAGGGACAAAGCCGATGACCTTGCAGATTGGCTATTACTTGAGACATTCCAAGGCCAGCGACGATGATTATTAATGGTTGGCTCATTATGAAGTAAGGTTGTGGTTGTTTAATGTCTATGTATAGATACGGTGTCTTCCCATCTGGGCATATGAGATCCCGCACATGTTCCTGCTGATGTATTGCATCCCAAACTACAAAGTAGCTTCCAGGGCCACTGGTAGCCTTCTGGCGGTGTTAGATCAGTGTATATATAAAGACGGTTATTGGTCCATGTAACTTTACCACGTCGAGGGCTAATCTGCAAGTAGTATGTCTGCATTAGTCCCTTCAACGCCATGTGCACACCAAGGTCAATTAATCCAAATCGCATTGGTAACATATAAATACACTGAAGAGCGAATCACGCAAATCCAAGCAGTCCATGCAAGATCTAAATAGCAGCTGTACAGTCGTCTTTTTCACCATCCGAGATATAGTATGAAAGCGGTATGCAGACGCTGTCGACCATGACCATAGAAATAATAATACAACAGACGCCCATCCGTTGGTCACCAGATAATCAACCGAAATTGACCGTCCCAAATCGACTTTGCTAGAGACTTGCCCTGTAGGTCTCTAGTATTGTTTCTCGTTGTACGTTGGCTTCGTGATCTCCTTGATATTCGTCTCCGCCTCCACCTGTGCCTTGATCTCGTCCTCCTTCTGCTTCACCCATTCCTCGAACGTAGGAGGTTCGGGCATACCAAGCTTTTTCCGCTCCTCCCGGAATCTCTCTTGAATCTTCGGGGTCTGCATGATCTGCCACCGCAACTCCCATCCAAAGATACCCATCTCCCTGATGCGGCCCGGGCGGTCGCTCAGAAGGTAGTTGTCGAGGCCACCGGCCTTCCGGATCGTGCGCAGCGCCTTGCGCGTGACCTTGATGAAAAGATCCTTTTCGAGTGCTTCGCTGTAGAGCTTCTTCCGACGAACGTTGGGCTTCCAGAATCGGCGGGTCTTGCCCTCGTTGCGGCCTTGTGAGATCTTGTTTCCGAATTGGATCATCGTGCCTCCGTAGAGACCGGAGTTGGATTGCTTGAAGACATAGTTCGGGCCGTAGGGGTAAGGAGGGATGTAATCCGGCAATTGTTTCGTCTTCTGTGCCGCCAATGTCGTGGAGAAGGAACGTTTGGAGGTCGTGAGGGAAAGGTTGCGAAAAGCCGCAGAGAGGGAGAACGGAAGGGACATGGTCGAACGAGTCTGTAAACCCGCCATTGTGTAGATCAAAAGGTCGAGAGGCAGTCGACCATGACAGGGAATTGGCCGAGAAGAAGAAGAACAGGTGCCGGCAGAGCACAGCAACAGCGGACGAGATAGTTGGAGATAGGCGTGGACCGTCCAGCACCGGATGGTGAAAGAATTTGGGGGTCGCGGCTGACCGCCTTGGCCACGGCCGGCTATCATTGATCGATCCTCCCCAGCTGCGCTTGAATTTCGGCCAGAAGCAGCTGCATCCAGACTCATCTTCCCTTTCATCATCTCCAGCTTTCTCTGATCCTGTCAGCTCTTCCTACTTCTCCTGTGCCTTCCTCCTTACCGAAACTTTCTATCCCACCACGATCGCATATCTGTGGCTTCCGAGTGAGGTCGCAATCCCTTCACCATGGTTCAAATCAGTGAAGTGAAGGGCAACTCGCGCGAGAACAGAACCGCAGCCCACACGCATATCAAGGGTCTTGGTCTACGACAAGATGGCACCGCGGAGGCTTCAGGAGACGGTTTTGTTGGACAGGCAACTGCTCGTGAGGTACGCGACAACATTGCCGCCCAGAACCCTGGTTTTCCAAGCCCATGAGCCTTGTTACTAACTCGAAGGATTGACATAACAGGCATGCGGTGTCGTTGTTGACTTGATCAAGGCGAAGAAGATGGCCGGTCGGGCTGTCCTTCTGGCTGGTGGACCCGGAACTGGAAAGACTGCCCTGGCCCTCGCCGTGTCGCAGGAGCTGGGAACCAAAGTCCCGTTCTGTCCGATCGTTGGTAGTGAGATTTACTCGGCTGAGGTCAAGAAAACAGAGGCGCTCATGGAGAACTTCCGGAGGGCAATCGGTACGCGATCTATGCCATTTTGACGCGAACAACCCAATAGACTCTAATGCATCGATAGGTCTCCGTGTTCGCGAAACGAAGGAAGTATACGAAGGCGAAGTGACGGAACTCACCCCCGAAGAGACGGAGAACCCTCTGGGAGGATACGGACGCACGATCAGCCATCTCATCATCGGTCTGAAGTCCGCCAAGGGTACCAAGAAGCTGCGCCTGGACCCCAGCATCTACGAAGCTATCCAAAAGGAGCGTGTCACCGTGGGAGACGTCATCTACATCGAAGCGAATACTGGAGCCTGCAAGCGTGTCGGACGGTCCGACGCCTACGCCACCGAGTTCGATCTTGAAGCTGAGGAGTACGTGCCCGTACCGAAGGGAGAGGTCCACAAGAAGAAGGAAATCGTCCAGGATGTGACACTGCACGATCTGGACATGGCCAATGCCCGGCCCCAGGGTGGACAGGATGTGATGAGTATGATGGGTCAGCTCATGAAGCCCAAGAAGACCGAGATTACGGAGAAGTTGCGCCAGGAGATCAACAAGGTCGTCAACCGCTACATCGACCAGGGCGTTGCGGAGCTCGTTCCCGGTGTCCTCTTCATCGACGAGGTAAATCATCCTAGCCCTTCCCTGCCTCACCTTACAATCAGTTGCTAACCCCAACCTCTAGGTTCACATGCTCGACATTGAATGTTTCACATACCTCAACCGGGCCCTCGAGTCTTCTATCTCCCCCATTGTCATCCTTGCCTCCAACCGCGGCAACACTGTCATCCGCGGCACCGACGACATCTCTGCCGCCCACGGCATCCCTCCCGACCTTCTCGCCCGTCTCCTCATCATCCCCACCCACCCTTACTCTCCCGATGAGATCAAGACTATCATTCGCCTGCGCGCCAAGACGGAAGGCCTCAGCATCACCGACCCCGCCCTGGACAAGGTCTCCGAGCACGGCAGCAAGGTCAGCTTGCGGTATGCCCTGCAATTACTTACCCCGGCTAGCATCCTCGCCAAGGTAAATGGACGCCCAGGCGGTATCGAGGAAGCCGACGTGGCAGAGTGCGAAGACCTGTTCCTTGATGCGCGGAGGAGCGCCACGATCGTGAACCAGGATAGTGAGAAGTATCTCAAATAAGGGGAACGTGACTCACCACTTGGCTGGATTTTTGGAGAACAGGCAAGACGGGGTGTGAAGAGAAAACAACCGAAAGAAACAAAACACATACAAGAAAGCAATATGTATACCATGTCTGCAGGTTTTATTATATTTTCCTAACTAAACCGGGAAGAGCCATTGCTTTTTCTGTTATGAATGAGCTATTTTACGTTAATGTCAACTACTAGTATTAGGGATTCTACTTTCAACCTCCAGAAACAAGTTCGTAATATTTCTTGTCTAGTAATACCCATATAACGTCCCAAGAATCTTCCCTCTAGAAAATAAACTGAAGAATAAGAATAAAAACATCATCAAGACCTCTTCTTCTTACCACCAGCAGCAGCATTGCACACTGGTCTAAACCTCGTCTTCGCCTTCCCAGCTGCCCCCGGCAAAGCCCTCAAGAGAACCAAAACAAATCTCAGAATAAGAACATAAACATGAATCAAACGAATAATCGTCCGGATCACATTATCTCTCAAGCCGAGGCTCGGGGGAGGTCCTGATGCAGCCGCCTCCAGGGGATCCTGGTGAAATTGCACGTGGAACGGGGCCTCCGCGCCCAAGTCCTCGATGGCGATCCTGAGACCGGCCGTGATGGCATCTTCTAAGTGTCCGCGTCCTGTCCAGCAGAAACCGTAACTTAGTCCACGTTTGTTTTGGATGGTGGGGAGATGATGTTGTGCTATCAGGGTCTGGGCGCTAGGCTCCGGGTCGGTGAACTCCCATACGCCTTGTACGTGGCTTGGGTGAGGTGGAGTGAAGGGGTTTAGGGTGATGTATATGGGGCCGAAAATGTAGGAAGGGATGCTGTCGAGGAAGTTGGCGATGTAGCTGAGACTGGAGATGTGGGATGTGATAGTGGTGGTAGTGTCACTTGGTTGGGTTTGCCAGTCTTGGTTGCTGGGGCCTAGGATGTAGTTGCAGGCGGGACCCGGGTCTTCGACGTTGGGCATGAGCTGGTTTGTGAGATTAGTAGGGCATATATAAGGGAAGTAGATGGGACGCACAAGAGGGTCAGAATGCAAAACAGAGATGTTTCTGGTTGAACCTAGACTTCGGATGATCTCCTTTTCTTGTTCATTTGCGAGCGATCCCAGTATCTTGATAGTCTCCTGGCCGTTAACGGCGAAGACTATATGGTTGAAGAACAGTTCTTCGCCTGCAGATGTCATGATACCGAACTTCTTTCCATACTGAACAATCTCTGTTACTCTAGTCTTGAGATGAACCTTCGAGGAGGGAAAGCTTTTGGTCATGGTCTGGATGAAATGGCTCACCCCTGGTCCGATACGACGCCAGTTTGGCAAGGCTTGACGGGGCTTCAGCAGTTGGTGATGGTAAAGGGCCTGGACGAGGGCTTTCGCAGGAACCCGTGGCAGGAACTTCCCCGCATTCGTGCTCCACAGAATGGACAGCAGTGGGGCTAGGTAGTTCTCGATAAAGGTATTGGAGTACTCTTCGCCTGCGAGGTACTCATGCGAGGATAACGACTGGGGATCCGTGGGTTTACAAGCCTCAAAGCCGGGATCGAGTACATCCACGGCCATGTATTTCAGCCAAATAGCATCGCACAGTATGCGATAGGTCTCTAAGTTGCAAAGTGTCCATGGACGAAGAAGAATGCTTTTCAGTATGCTACCACACCATTGGAAACTGTCAATCCCATCCGTAGCTCCAAAGGAGAACAGAGCCTTGACACTGGTAATCCCAAGGTAGTCTAACAACGAAACGAGGTTTGCTGAAGATGTGAATTAGTCAAGAAAGATACGGGCTGGGAAGTTGCCACTAACGAGAAGCCCCGGCATTAAAGTTGGGAAAACTTGTATTGACATCAACTCGGTGACCATTATGCTCAAAGGGCAGGGCATTTACGCGCCCACCAAGGGAGTCTGAGGCTTCAAATAGATGAACATCATGGGTGGAATTCCGCAATGCCCAGACAGTCGTGATACCCGTGCAACCGCCCCCTATAACAGCAACCCGCTCAGGCTGAAAGGGCGGCATGAAAACAACAGCTGTCAGCGGCTAACCTTGCCATAGAGCAGGCCAACCGGAGAGGATGAAAAGAATATATCGGCACGAACTTAGCGCGCTGGGATGCTGATTCAAGACCAGTCTCAGTGTCTAGTAGACAGCTTGGAAAGATTGTAGAGTACTCCTTGCCCTATCTGGAGGTACTGGGATAGGGAACATTGGAGTGGTAAGGTAGCAGAACAGTCTCACAGAAAGATCGAAGACAGGGTGACAACAAAATTTATCAAGACTACCATGTGCGCTCAGATCCCAACCTGCTACGCGCTCTTGTCCTCATGTGGCGGCCAAATGTGATCGCATCAGATGACAGACACAGCTAGGGCGACTCACTCGAGTATTCAGGGAATGGATGTTCCATGAGATCAAGGCAGATCTACCGAAAAAAGAGCCCAAACGAAAACTGGGGTAGATATGTGACCTGTCACTAGTGAGGGGGGCCTAAGGAAATAGGGCCATTATATGAGTCGAGGAGGAAGCTCCACCGATCTGAGACGGAAATAATGAGGGGGGCGAATCCTAGAGAAGTTAATTGACCACGAGTCAGGGGACCATTCTCCTTGAAGGAATGGAAAGGAACAAGCCAACCATAATGTTAGCCTCCCATAAGCGAGGGTGAGCGCTGGGACCCTGGATTGGGGGAGGGGCATTCAACGGCACGATGAATGGAATCCATACAATGGATCTGTTGGTCGAACTTGGCGCCAGATGCGATGCAACAACTAGACTAATAAGTTAGTCTGGTTTAACGGCCGTTGAGCCCGACGACGTCAGCCGGATCCCTCTGCCTCGGCCGCCGATCACGTGTGCCCGTCGCCGTTCCTGTCATCGCCGCAGGCCAGCCAGTTGTCTCTCTCCATGCATCTGCCTATCCTATCTGCTTTCCATCCAGCTGCATCTCCGTCTGTCCTTCAGATATACTGGTTTTGTTTTTTGAGCTGATTCTGGTTCATTCTCTCATAGACCGTGTCATTCACTCCGTTGATTGTCCCAATCTCTTTCCCGGAGCAGCACGGGCGCCGCCAGCCACCACGGAAGATAAGGTGGCTACTCCGTACTACTCTCTCCACTTACTTGGATCCGCAACCCCTATCCACTGATTAATTCGGTCTCGATCGGCTGTACAACTTAACCAAAGACTCTTCAACCTACGCCAACGCCCCATCTAATATCACAATGTCGAACCCGTTGGACACCGACGCCGGCTCGGAGCTCTTCAGCAGCTACGAGACCGAGCTAAAGCTGGTACAAGCCGATTTGAATCAGAAGCTGGACCAGATCGCCGAGTCAAGCGGTGAGCAACGAAAGTCAGCAATCAGGCAAGCCGAGAGAGCCCTGGATGAAGCCACGGAATTGGTATGTTCGACTAGCTTGTCAAAAAGCGCATTCCGCGTCATTTCCCCACTAACAAGCGGGAATACAGCTAGATCAAATGCGCATGGAGAAACAGAACATCCCCTCAGCAGCACGATCGAAGATCAACACGCGCGTTCGCAACTACGCTACCGATATTGATGAGGCAAAGCGCAAGTTGAGGTCTCTCTCCGATGACCGCAAGGCGCTCTTCGGCGACCGCTACACAGATGATCCGCAGGACGAACATCTGGAACAAAGACAACAGCTCCTGTCTGGTACGGAGCGGTTGGAGCGCAGTTCCGCCCGGCTCCAGGAGAGTCAGCGCATCGCCCTTGAAACGGAGGATATTGGTCGCAACACCTTGGCCGACTTGAACCAGCAGCGCGAGACGATTATGAATGCGCGGGGTCGACTGCTGGAGAGCGAAGGATATGTGGACACCAGTATCAAGACACTAAGGGGCATGGCCCGTAGGTACTGTCCCCCTAATACACAAGGACATTTGCTTTGCTGCTTGTCACAGCCACTTGATGCCCATATACTTACTGTCTTCTAGGATGGCTACGAATCGGTTGATCACAATCGCAATCATCACAGTCTTGATCTTGTTGATTTTCGCCGTTATCTACAGCAAGTTCCATTGAGCGTGGATTTGGAAGGCGTTATTACCGGTGGCCTCTCTTTTATTTACTTCTCTCTTAACGACACCTATAAGTCTGCAGTCGCAGACACATCACGCAATGTTGTATGATAGCAACCCATCAGCTTTAATCAGGCGCCATGTTACATGTTCTAGTACCTCGCACAATTCCCTCGACGAGCCAAGCCCTTATGATATCTAGAAAACTTAAAAAAGAAACAACAACCAAGGGTATAATACATGGAAAAGAAACCAAACATAAAAAACACTAATTCATAATCCTCATGGCCCCAAAAGCAATATTAACCACGACCCCAACAAAAACCGCCAACCCCTTCCTCCAACTCCAAACCCCCTCCTCCCTCCTCAACCACATGGCACACCCAACCGGCCAAAAGAACCCCATCACCGCCCCCCAAAGCATATCATCCATCGCGCCCCTCGACCCAGCCCCAAACCCCCCATCATCCTCCGCAAACGACACCACCCCACCATCCCCGCCCCCTCCCCCAGCCGCCATAGCCGCCGTCGACCCCTCATCCATCCACCGGTCCTCCAACTCCCGCAACTCCGCCCCCGACGGCATCGTATCCGGGGTATGCGACACCGACTGTACCGCTAGAAACTGCGACCGGAGGCCTGCCACCTCCGCGGGTGTAAACCCCGCCGAGAGTAACCGGTCGAAACCCCGCGGCGCGGGCGTTGTAGTACTAGCATCACCACCATTCTGTACATCTTTCTGTCGGTGTCCTCTGGCACTACCGTCTTCATGATGAGTATCTGATGGTGATTGTTCTTCGTCATCGTTGAGTGTAGATGCGATCGACGCTTCCGCGGCAAGATCGGCCGCTGAGAGAACGATATCGCCGATGGAGCAGTGGATGTAGAGACGGGGATGGTCGCGGACGGGGGCTTTGCCTTTGCGGTTGGGATCGGAGGCCGGGTCTGAGGTGGTGTCATTGGGCGGGGAGGATGTTGGTGGTCGCGGGGACCGCGTGGGTGTGGGAGGGAGTTTGAGGGATACGGAGAGAGGGGTCTTGTCTTCGAGGCCACGGCCGGCGTGGATGAGGCGGAGACGGTGAGAGGAGAGGTTAGGGGGGAGACGTGTGCGGATGAGTTGTTTTAGGCCCGCGGAGGTGGTGGTTTCCGGGGAGAAGATGTCGAGGGGGAGGTCGGGAATGGAGGCGGAGAAGCGGATGGTCACGTAAAGGGGGTTGGTGGTGGAGGTGGAGGGTGGGAGGTCGAGGGGCGGAGGGGATTTCAGAAAGGATGATGATGCCATTGTCTATGCGTCTTGTGGAGAGGTGTACAGGGTGTGAGATGAAGATTGAAGCCGGCGATGTCGGTACGTCACGGCTTGCTTGCGATAACCTCCGATAAGGCTGTCGCCTGAGGTCTTCCAGGGGTTGTGCACGTGATTTATACTTATAGGGAGGAGGACGTGTGATTGGCTGTACTGCTTCCCAGTAGAGTACTCGAGATTAACAATGATTTAATGTTCTGAATGTGTATTCACTTCCATATGCTATGGAAGTAAACTAAACTACTATTAAATTCAGTCTAATTATAAGGGCGCTCTTGTGGTTCTATAGGACTTTGTATTGAGCATCAAGCCTTGAAGCCACATTGATGCAGTCTATGCGGTATCTCCCCTCATAGATCCTCTTAAGTATTGTATATACATACAACCGGGTCTTGACCTACCCATGTCCCTCTGTTGCCTTGAGATATACGTGGATCCGTCGTCTTGAACTGTAGGAACCAAAGCACAGAACACTCTGACACATGCAAGCCCTCAGTTTCTAGCTCCTCTGTTTTGACCTGTGTTTTTCTCGCATCTCAGTACATGCATATAGCGTAATGGCAAGGAGTATGGGACCCAATTCTGCCATATCGGAGGGAGACTGTGTGTTCCAGGGCCCATATTATCGCATGGTCAAGAATGATGGTGTCGAACTCTTAGGTGGCTTATTCTTGAGATACGCAACGTAGTCATCGTCATACTCGGCAATCGTCAGGAATATCTCATGCCTATTCTGAGAAATATGAATCCCTCTATAATGATATAGTTATTAGTAGTGACTGAATACCAGCTCATGTAACGGCTACTCACAATCGTTCAATATCCGTGTCACCATTGTTCATCAGCCACCCTACCATTTGGGCACTTTCTTGCATCTGGATCAGACTTGGTTTTGAGCTTCTAATCACTGGCTTAACCTCGATAAGTGCATAAGCATTTTCGTTGCCATCGTCCAAGTATCCGTCTGTTCTGGCCTCGAAACTGGCCTCCTCAAATAGTTAGCAATAAACCCCTTTCTGTGCATAGTCCAGTCACAGGTATAGCAATTATCGAAGTGGATAGTAAGTGCATTCAGAAATACCACAAGAGCAGTATTCACGATTTGCTCATCTTTCGTGGGCGGAAACAACTGCCCCCGAAGCTCTTTGGGCACCTGAGCAGCTGGAGTGATGAATTCTGGCTCCTCCTGATCATACACAAGGCTATCATCATCATCGTCGTCATCATCCGAATTCGACTCTGGTGTCTTTGGCGGATCTTTTGGGTTCGTGGACGGAGTTTTCGGAGAATTAAGTTGCAGTTTGGAGACATCAAAGACCTTCTCCTTGAGCTTATTGCGAGTCCGTAAAGCAATTGGGGTATCGAAAGTGCTAGGTCTTATGATTCCCTTGGTGCGTGCAGCCATCTGCTGGTAATAACGAACGATAGTGAAATTCCCCTCAGGGTTGATGGACATGCCGAAACCATTACAGTATGTCTTCCATGAGGGATAGTCTTCCAACATCGCGGTGGCGTCCGGAATCAGTCTCTTGATTCTCTCTGGTAGTGTCTTGAGTGAACTTTGTACTTTCCAGAGGACACGTAGGAGTAAGAACTGTTTGTAGCCTATCTTTGATCCTGAGACTAACTCAGCCCCATGAATAGTTTCCTTATCTAGCTCGTGTCCCTTGACAGCCTTCTCCCATTCTGTGCGATCGGCGGGTAAATGTTGAGACGGGGCACTACTCATTCTGAGTAGTAGAAACTGATGACCGGGGGAGTCTAGATAGAGAAGGCTGGAGCAGGATATGAAACAATGACTTGTTTGTTCAGTCTAGTTAAGTGATATGATTCAGTGTATTACATGAAAGGAATCATTGCAAACAGATAGCGAGAGCACTTCCAAATCGCTCTCCTGCATATAAGAACATCCAGTGACATAAGTACGAGGAGCGAGATAATCATAGCAACTTAGCCCATCACTAACCATGAACCGTTTGAGACGTTTAGCGGTGGGAGGGGGGGGGGGGGGGGTCAATGCATCCACATCCAGTTAGGTATTCCATATCCTGAGTGCTAGGAATAGAAAATAGTTTCAACCACTCAATGCGCCGTGTACAAGCGCTGACTCTATCTTAGTACTAGATTTTAGGCATGCGCACGGACGTCTGTCCTGTCATGGAACCTGATTGATGGAACGTTGATAAGCTGAGAGATACGCGGATAAACTGGCCGGGGGTGGTCTCTTGTCCCTTGCGACTTGAGCTTAATGTTCTTCCAACAACACCCACCCCCCCACACACCCATCACGGATTCGAATCTAGAGGATAATTGACCGAAATCCCTCTTGCATCCTCTTTTCAATCAACAGCCCGACCATCTATCATGTCTATCTTTGAGCCTGCAGAACGCCGGAAGCTGCGTAGAGTTCTACGCGCACTCTGCAATAACATCCAGGACCTCGAACTTCATGAATTCGATGTGCATCAAGGGAAAGCACACAATATCATTATCTTGCCTTTAGATTTAGAGGGACAATCTGATGCTAGGCCTTATTTTTTCACGCCTTGTTCTGCCTCTATAATGGCCGATCCTGTTGAGAGCATGACGGGAGAGGGGCGAGAATTTATCGAATTTGATTCATTTCCCGAACACCACAGAGACCCGCTATACTGTTCACGTTGGCTGTTTGATCGTTTTTCTGGTTATATCTCCCTATGCAGTGATTTTAGCGATCGTGACGAGGCTTATGAGCTCAAGAAGCTACAATCAGATCTCAGGTAAACACCAGCTCTTGCCGTTTACCCATTCATATATTGCATTCTTGCATCTGACACTACACAACAGCATTGATGAGCCGCCTCTCACGAACTTGCATCAGTTTAGCTACCCTGAATGGCTAACTGTGTGGGCTACCAAACTTGCCAAGGGCTCACAACCCCATATCAAAGCATTTGTTTGCAATAATATGAACGGTACAAACGCAAAGGTCCTACGAGGAGAAGTAATGGTCACTCTACGCTTGATGATCGCACAAATGAAGTCTGTCCGCTTTGTCGAGCAGTTGACTGCACCGGTAAAATCTGTCTCTCCACTCCATCAGAATACCTGAAACTAATTAAGCCGCCTCCAAGGTCCTGCTTTTCTCGTTCATGGGCCCCCAACATGCTCGGCTGATCGAGGCGTATTTTGACGGCAACTCGCTGATAATGCGTCCGACTCGCCTGTTTGACCTTCGCAAGATGGATGCGGATGTTATCAGAACAATGGGCCAATGGTTCTTTGGGATGGCAACCGGGGAAACTACGAGATTGTGGGAGGCGGGATCTCGGGCATGTTCACGGACATGATTCATGATTATATAGTGACCTTTCTTTGATTCTGTTTGGTAAATGGGACAGTTGGGATATATGGCTGGGATCCTTTTTTTTTCCGGAGGCGTCCTTTCTGATTTGGCGTTCATAGGCAATTTGGGGTCGGTATTCATGCGGACGAAGGCGCTTTGGTATCTATTCAGAATACCCATGACTTGCTAATGGTACAACATTACTATAATCCTCAGGTCGGGACGGATGTCTATCCTCAACTGACATTCGACTGTTGTGGAGCTTGCAGGCAATTGAACTCTGAATAGCCGTCGCAGGCCATTTAGATATAATATCGTACAAAGGCTATTTACGACTCATGGGGGATCATTATTCGCTCCTAAATATGTGTGAATTAATATTCCATGGTAAGCGCAGCCTCACAAACCAGGCCCTAAAAAATGCTAGACCTGGTATCATGCTTGTATCTAGTTTTCATTTGTGCGATAACATCTCCATGAATAGAATTCGGTGTAGGAAGATGGACGAAGATAAGCAATTATACACGTCTTTTCCCGAACGGGTAACTAGTTTGGAGAAAAAGCGACATTGTCTGTGGGGTTTGATAAGACCGAGCCGGTCTCGTGATCGGCGTCTTCCCCTCATCCTCCTAGCTTATCATAATCCCTATCTTCCTATCCAAGTCCAAAAGAGTCAAAATGTCCTGAGATACAATCATCGTGGCGGACTACTCGCTTGCCTAAGGGTCTACTCCGTGGTGTCTCGGGTGATCTTCACGATGCAAGCCGAGCCCCGCAAGTTAAAACGAACGGCAAACGCGTAAGAAACCTGCAAAGTAATTTGGAAACTAGCTTGCCGATGTTGACCCCGCTTATCCAGATGTATTGCCTGTCGTCAGAGCAAGATCAAATGCTCTGGGGTCGAACCATGCGCCAATTGTCAGAGACGCGCTGTTCCTTGTCGGTTTTCCGAGGAAAACCGTAGGGTTCTGATATCGGAACGGTACTTTTCCAAAGGATCGGATGGCTATGGATCATACGATGCTCATAATGCGGCAGGTGCCTCCGTGAGTTGCAGACACAGGCTAAAGAGCAGCATGAGACGACGAAGAAACGAACCCACGATGTTGCATTCGAGGAAGTCGAAAGTATGTATATGACGCGGGCAAATTCTGATGTCTCCTCACTGTAGTCTTACTCTGTTAGATGTTCTCGGTTCAGAATCGCGTTCTCCAGGTGCAAATTGGCCCAGTCCATTTGGTCTGCCCTCGATGACGATGAGGAATACCCATGATAACCGATTATCCCGATGGAGTAAGACCTGCACTCTCTTCTCTGATATAGTCTTGGTCGTCATGCGCATGCGGCTAACCTGACTAGTCTGGCTGGCTCCAACATCTACTTGGTCGTTTACCGCTCGTCTCACTTTGATGATGTCTCAAAGGCTGCATCCGGACGTGGCCTACGATATTCCCTACTACCTTGATGGAGATATCTATCCTCTACAGTGGAAGTCGTCTTCTGATGCTGCTCCTGATATCAGCGGTCTCCCGTCTATGGACTACGCTCTTTATCTCTTTAACACAGTCAAGTTCCATCTGGGCCAGACTTTCCGACTCTTGGACGAGGAGACCTTCACAGCGCATATGCAAGAGTTCTACTACGGCGATGCAACCAAGAAAGCAACTGATAGTCGGCTGTGGCTCATCCAGTTTTTGCTAGTGTTGTCCTTTGGAAAAGCGTTTCTTGACCAGTCTAAGAAGAGAGACCCGCCAGGTGCAGCATACTTTGTTCGTGCCATGTCTTTGATGCCAGATTACAGTTCTATATGGAGAGATACCCTTCTGGCCATCGAGGTCATGGCTCTAGCAGCTTTGTATCTATACTCGATTGATCGACGAGAGTCAGGACACCTTTTTGTAAGAACCTGACTTGCATTCGAAATTGCGCGGGGTGGAGAATCTAACATAGTACAGGCTAGCCAGGCCATCCGGATTGCGCAACTTGAAGGTCTACACACGGAGCTTCCGGAGCAAGAACTGGGGGCAGCAGCTGTTGATCGCTGTCGTAATCTGTGGTGGACACTGTACATTATGGACCGCCATTTTTCGTCATCACTTGGCATACCGATGATTGTGCATGATAGCGATGTCACAGCATTAATTGATTCCCCAACACAATCGTGCCAGAGGAACGCTATGCTAAGTCTGAGAGTGAAGCTATCGCGGTTATTGTCCACAATACTTGGCAGTAGGTTACAAAATCACCATTACGAGAGGACGTCGACTCATGAACGACAGCCGTTTACAGGACTGAGAGACGGCCCATCGAATCATTCATTGAGAAAACGAAGACTATTTTAAACACTATGGCAGATCTAGCTCGGGAGTTGGAGGACTTTATCAATACCAAATTCGCAGGCCCGGTTAACTCCATGTCGAAAGGGATGCGCCATATCCTCCTGCTATATCACGAGGTATGTCTGCCTTCGAGCAAACCAAAATCCGAACTAACTCATAGTACTAGTGTGTCATCGTTGCCACACGGCCCCTCCTTCTAGCCGTTCTACGGGAGCGTTTGGATAAACTTGGCCTACCTTTAGAATGCTGTCGCCGGATTGTCCCTCTCATGGAAACACTGATGTCAACGGGGATCAACTCGGCGACCAAAAGTCTACAGTTACTTAAAGCTCTAGTGGACGAGGGCCTTCTCGGTGGGCAAAATGCAGAAAGAACAATCATCAGCTACTAACCGCACCACAGAATCATTCCTCCCCTTCGACCTGGAATTTACGTACGGCGCCGCTATCCACCTCACAATGGCCAGCGCCCTTGTGCCTGAATTAGTCGGACAGCGAAGCTCCAACCAACAAGCACATCTAATTCTTGATGAAATTATCGGCAAGGGGAACCGCGTAGCCGAAATTCGCAAAGCTGATCTGACTCGTCTCGAGACCTTGTTCGAGGGACTAAAGGAGCGGTATGCGAATGCGGCAAATCACATCAGTGCCACTTTAGTTCCAGAGACGAGTGATGATGCGCATGAGCAGGATCATAGGCCAAATGACAACACCCAGTTACCGTTCATCACTGGGGAATTGAATGTCTCAGAGGATGAGTTGCCTGAGCTTGGATTAACATCTTATGATATTGCAGCCATTGTGGATCAGATTGATTACAATGCGAGCCCGTCTTTCTGGCTAGCTCAGGAGGGGGACGATTTGTGATGTATGGTATTAACCAACGTATATAGAGTCGTGTATATGGAGCTTCGAGGTGGTGAAGTTTACACTTGCATATAGGGTGTTGTTGATGTCATCGAGAGCAGTAGCAGAGCATCTGAACTGCAACTGAATATACAAACAATCATAGTTACTATACTACACCCAATACATAACCCTTGACTGTAATGGTCATACTTTCGAGCTACACCCGAAGCAGCAGTACAGAAACAGACAACACCATCACTGTACTAATCCATCAGTTCATCATATAATATCTCCAGACCAGTGCAGTAGATCCAGCCACAACATCTATCATCCACACATGTCAGCCCTATCATCGGATATGCCACCCGATCTCCGCAACGCAGCCGACCCGACCCGAGAGGGGAACTATATCACGCCCTCGAGACATGGTTCTAGATACAGAGACTACCAGCATCATCATCATACCAGACAAACTAAACCATCTACATTTCAAGAACCAGCAACGATAACAACCAAAATGACCCGCCTCCCCCTTCCCATCCCACCCCCGATCCCAGCAACCTACACCCCCAAATCCTCCCTGCGCACTATCCCCTCCACCACCCCAATCGAATACATCCTAGCCATCCTCTCCCGCGACGGCGGCGTAATCATCTCCGACTTCATCCCAAGAGAAGACCTCACTGCTATCGACACCGAACTCACCCCATGGACCAGCGCCAGCACCAGCGCCAAGAAACCCACCTCCACCTCCACAACCAACGGCGCCTTCACCACCATCCCCTTCCAAACGACCCTCATCCCGGGCCTGGTAGGCAAATCCCCCACCATAGCCCGAATCACCGCGGAGCACCCCACCCTAGAAGCCCTGCGCACGCGCATCCTCGTGGACGAATGGTGCATCAACCGCGAAGACAGCGTGGAGCCGAACCGTCTCGACCCGTTACTCAGCCTCAGCGTGGCAATGAACATCGGGTACGGGGCGCCTCGTCAGCTCCTCCACCGGGACGATAATGTGCATCATGTGCGACATGAGTATCGCGAGTGGGAGTGGGGGTGGGACCAGGTGAGTCAGTTTGGGTGTCTGATTGCGGGCTGTGATGTTAGTCGGGAGATGGGGGCCACGATGTTTGTGAAGGGAAGTCATCGATGGGGGGATGAGAGGTGGGCGGAGGTTGACCATGAGAAGGGGGAGGTGTGTTTTGCTGGTATGTTATCTACCCACTATTCCCTTTGTTGGTATTGGCCTTGGTATTGTTCTGGATGATCCTGATATGTTGGGTATGGGTTATAGAGATGAAAGCCGGCTCAGCGCTGATATTCCTTGCGTCGGCGTACCATGGGGGAGGACATAACTCGCTCCCCGGGACGGTGAGGAATATGTATGGGTTGTTCTTCTGTAGGGGTCATTTGCGGACGGAGGAGAATCAGTTCCTGGCTATTCCGCGGAGTGTGGTCACTAAGATGAGTCCGAAGATGTTGGAGTTGTTGGGGTATAAGAAGCCGACGACGGCGTTGGGGATCGTGGATAATATTAGTCCGGATGAGGATGTTGAGGGGGTTTGGGAGAGGGTGGTGCGGTGAATCTTCTTCTTAGAAGGGTTGATCAATTGATTTATGTATGGTGGTTTGAGGTTGTTGTATGTGGAGGTATGATTACTGGAAATTGAGATGGCCAGTGTTATCAATAGGTTAGGGGGGTGTTAGGAGTAATATGGTTGTAGTGGAAGTAGGAAATGTAGTAGGTAGAGGTGATAGTTGCCGCTGGTCGAGATAGTAGACTTATTGTATTCTGTTATGAGCAATTCATATACTATCGGATGAGGTGCAGGCAAAGCCCGAGTATTGAAGGGATCGGACAGGCCATCCGACATATTTCAATTCAAGTACCCCGGATCTAATCTAAGCTTCCGAAGGAACCGAAAGGCCATTGCTGCATGTAAGCTCGGTGATTTTAGTTCTAATTTAGGTTGTAGTTCTTCCTCGAGGTGTTTTGGGGATTACATAGTCATTTAAGCTTGTTGTTGTATTCACGATGGTCCTACATAAAGTAGTAATAAAGTAATGATTGATCACGGCTTGTGTCGCTGAATCTTCAACAAATGTTGCCTGCGGTATCATGCAGTGCCGTCGATCATATGACAAAGTAGATATATTGCACAGTAGTGGGCTCATTGCCCGGGAATCAATGTATGTCCAGCATGAAGCAATAAAAGAAGGGATTATCCGAACCCGCCAAACCCGCCACCAGTAAAACGCCGGCCAATGCACAAACGCGAGAAAACCCATGAATCCGCATAATTATGAACTCGAAACATATGAAAGGTGCCAATTTCAGTTTCATAAATCAGACCATGAAGGATTCACCGCATCCACACTCTTCCTCTGCACAAGTAATACGTTAGCAGCCGTTTCTGGGGTTTCCCGCGGACAAAGGGAAGCTTACTAATATTCGGGTTGCGGAAAACGAATCTCCTGCTCAGCTTGTCCTCCTGCCAATCCATCTCGCTGCCGATTATACTGAACAATGCCTTGCTGTCGATGAGAACCTTGACACCGTCTTGCTCCACTACTTCGTCGAAAGCACCCGGCTTCTCCACGTACTCCAGGTGGTAGGCGAGACCGGAGCAGCCACGGTTCTTCACACCGACTCGAATCAGCTTGGGTTCCGGCTGTGAGAGGAGTTTGCGAAGCTGCTCAATAGCCACGGGGGTCAGCTTCATCGCGGCCTTCCTGGCACGCAGCTTGCGCCGGGGCTTCTCGGTGGGCTTGGCGGCGGTCTTTTCGGCAGCAGCAGGAGCGGGCGCAGGCTTGGACTTCTGGGCCTCACTTTCCCGGAGGCTGAGGTCGGACAGGCCCTGCTGGCCGGGCAGCTGAGGCTGGGACATCTCACGAAGGGAAGGGAAGTCGGCGGCGATGGAAGTGTCAGAGATGCCCGTGTTCCGGGGCGGCGGGAAGGAGGTGGGCAGCGAGTGAGGACGGTAGGCAGTGGCAGTCTGCAATTCGCGCTTCGAGGACCGGTGAGAATTGCCGTATGAGGAGAATAGACGGCAGGTCTGCGTCGAGCGTCTGGAGGAGGACTGTCTGAGCCAGGTGAGGATCGTGGCGGATGATGTCACCGGCGAGGGCATGGTAGCTTTGCAAAGCGACATATTGGGAGAATGTGATGTGTTTGATGGAAGAGGATGCTCTATACTGCAGTAGGAGTAACGAGGAGCTGAAATGTCATGAATCTAATCGTTGTGTCGTCGCTGAACGAAAAGGAATATGATGGAAAAGTGGAAGAATGATGGTGAGTCGGAAGTTGAGTCTGTTTGGGAGGCGGAAAGACTGCCGGCGGTCGGTTAAAAGGTGCCAGGGCCAGGACCCGGCGGGCCAATCAGCGTGGAGGTGTTTCTACACAACGACGGTGGCGCCACTGCTGTGGTCTCAAATGAACGCCTGATCGAAGCCGGGGTTGTTGGGGAACTGTCCGTTGCAATCTAAATGGCCCCCTCTGTGACCCAGTGATCATGCAGCAGTCCCGTTTCCTTTGATTTCTTTGACTTTGTTCATTGCTGAGCTGGCCCTGCGATTGCTACTCCTTTACTGTGATTGGCCCGATGCTCTTCACCGTTATTACTAACACGGCTGCCTGAGTAACGAGTCACCACACCACAATGAGTAGTTACCTCAGGCGTAACCCATGACTAATGGGTTTCTGCTTTGTTTGATGTTTCAGGAGACAAGAACAATAATGAAGGACCCGGGAAGCAACGGGAAAGAGTTGCTGATCCTTGTCTATGTGTGACTAGAGCAGATTTGTTACGCACATGATCTACTTTCTATAAGGGAGCATTCTATTTACCCTCGACACTCTATTGATGTCAGGTCATGCATTGAATCAACTGTTATTTAAGTGATTAACTAGCTTCACATGCCCCTGATTATGTCATCTTATGGTCGGCATGAGCAGAGGCACGTGTTGTCACTGCAACGACAAGAAAGTCAAGGGACAGAATAAATGAAAATACTTTTATCTTAAATTATGCTGGAAGAAAGTAGGAAGGCTCAGACCTCTCCTACTTTCACACAATACAAAGCGAAACCGTGGCGCCTTCATACATAAACCGTGGCTGGTGGGGGAGCAGGGGTGTTGCGTGGCTGGTGTGGGCTGGCCCGAATAGGCAGAAAAAGAGAAATGAAGTGGTGGTCGAATAAGCTGGCGACTACCATTTCATGTCCACTTCCAAGTCCCTCTTCCATCGGCCCGCTTGCTATTGAATCTCACATTGGCTCTTCAAACTTCCCATCTGTGATGCTGGTAGCGGTCCCATGTTTGATGCTGACCGCCACTCCTCTCACCTAACGCAATGGAATCCCCCTTAACCCAACAAAGTAGACCCGAAACCTTCAAGCCTAAGATCGTGCAACTATACGAGAATCTATTCCAAGTATGTGTCGTAGTCCCCGCGGCGTATATACCACTCCAGCTAACCCAATTTCTTAGACCACCGACTATGCAGAGCCATCGGAGGGATTTTGGCGCGAGTTTTTCTTGTTGCCTCCCGATCGTACTCGGCTTACTGCGGTCTTGAACCAGCTCAGTCCTGACGAGACCCTCAACTTGCAGGTGCGTCACCACTATGCTTGGTCTATCAGCAGACAGTCCTTTCTAACACTCTAGCAGATCCAAACACAGCAACTCTTTGCTCGCGCAATTCGCGAAGCTGCCTCCACCTCCAGTCCGGTGGATTCCTATGCTCTAGAGGTACGTGCATTGCCCGACGACTGTCATCACTTTCTAACTATGATCTAGACCTTGACGATCTTCTTAGCATGTGTCTTGAAGAAGAAGTACACCAACCCCAGCTCAGATGTCATTACTGTTCTTGCTGGTCTCGACCACGTGGACCATGTGATCTCCAACTTTGTCACTGTCCTGGATGGCATCATTCGGAACGGCAGCAGCTGTAAGTCCCTTTTCATGAGCGACATCACTTCGACCGTGCATTAACGAATACCAGTTGATATCCGTCTCAAGGCTATAAAAGCCGCCATCGCCATGACTAGCGGGGCATACAAGACAAGTTTGGTCTCTTACTTCACACACCGGGATCTGTTTCCTTCTCTCATGAAGGTTTGTTACTTCCCAAACATTCCACAACCAAGCTAATCTTCAATCAAGTTCGTCCAAGAAACGGAGACCCCAATGCAAATGTTCGAGCCATTCGTGCTTTTGGGTTTGCTGGCAAACTACAACAAGTTCGAATTCCAAAACCCCTACCAGCTGCGACTCGATGACTTTGTCAACGAGGCCAGTATCCAGAAGATTGCCAAGGGGGTTGGTCTCTCCTGTGGTGCTCTGCGAAACGGCTATGTAGCAGTGCAAGATGACTCTCCGGAGGGCTGGTCTCTCATCGGTACCCTGATCTATTTCGGATTGGGTGTACTTGCTCCGGGCAAGAAAGAGAAAGCCGGCACGCCAACCGCAGAAGAAGCCAAAGATCTGTTCGCAGCACTGTAAGTCTATCCTAATTCCTAGGGGCTATCCCCCGCTAACAACACCAGACCGGCCCAACAAGCAGCGATCCTCCTTGCCACCTACGACTTCATCAATGCCAACAAGCTCTTCGGCTACCACCTCATCAGCGCGGCTCCCGAGAAGGACAACGAGGAGACACCATTTGCCTCTTTCCTCTCCCTCACTTCCTACCTCCTGCAGCACGCCTATCGGTCCCCAAGAGTCGCCCACTACGCCGAGCTGAACCTTCTCACCCTGCGCATCCTCTCCGAAGACAGCACGCTATGCAAGCAACTCTGCAGCGAAGAAAGCAAGCGCAGAGTGCGCCTCTGCCGTCAAAGACAACCATATCTCCCTCTCGTCAACGGCGATCGAGTCCTAGTAACCGTTATCTTCGACATTCTCATCGACACCCTAACCCACAATCTCCGCCGCCGACTCGACGTCAACCTCTATAGGTACCCCTCTCCCTTCTTCCGCCTCTCCCCAACATAGAACACAAAACTAACTAGTAAAAGCCACTGCATATCAATCTTCCTCCGCCTCCTAACCTACCTCTCCATGAACAAAATCCGACTCACCTACCACTGGTCTGAACTCTGGCGCACTCTCCTCTCCCTCACGCGCTTCCTAACCACCTACGCCCCGGACCTAACCAGCAACCCACACACCACAACCCTAACCACCACCCTCATCAACCTCATCGCCTTCTGCGTCTCCTCGGGCGACACCTTCCTCCCGGACCCCCTCTCCTACGACGATCTCTTCTACAAGCTTGTCGAAACCGGCCCCATTATTACGCGCTTCCGCGACGTCTACAATTTCAAGGCACCGGCATCCGCATCTGCTGGCGCAGACACCAATAAAGAAGTCCACGTAGCCGCCATCGACACGCTGATTTCCGTCTCCACACACTTCTACACGCTGTTGTTCGTGGATCCGGATCAGAATGCCGAATCGGCGGGGAAGAGTGGAGAAGCGGTACCGGTACCGGCGAACCTGAAAAAGAATCTGAGTCCTCGGGAGGTGCATCGAATCATCAAGCAGGGGTATGAGACGTTGAGCATTCAGCCGCCGGAGGGGCTGGGGGCGTGGACGAGGTATCGTGAGGCGGATTGGAAGATGGAGTTGAAGAGGGCGGCGAGGTGTGCGGTCGATGATGCGAGGGGGTTGGTTGTTTAGGTTGTTAGGACGATGCTGCTCTTGTGTTTCTTCATGAGTGTCTAGTGGCTGTGGTTTGTGTGTGTTGCTTGGGGTAGCGGATTACATACTAGGTGATGGTGGAAATCCAGTTCTTGTTACTTTTGTTTTATACCTTCGCTGGCCAGTATTATGTTGAATATTCCCTGAGTTACACATATTGGAAAAAGTGATTGAAAATTCAGTTCCGCTAGCTGAGTGGATTCCAATTCTATCCTACTAATGGTACAGGGAAAAAAAGTATGATCATCGCCGTAACATACATAAAAGCAACTTCAGTCTTTGCTAACTAACCATTTGTCGCAGCCCAAGTCGGTCGAACGCAATCGAATTAAAGAAGGGAGGAGATAAGATATGCTCGAAGAAAAAACGGTGGAGAAAAGCAAACGCATAAATGAATCAATGGCCACACGTCTAGACTAAACGCGATGTCGCAGTCCCAGGAGTTGGATTCGGAACGCCACGCGACTTCTCGATGTACTCATTGCTCGCAGTCATGTATCTTGTAGCAAAGTATCGGCTGGAGTTCTTGCTCAGCCAGATGGTGAACTTGGACAGTTCTTCACGGAGTCTATTCGTTGACTGGAGGTCCATATTCGTCTGTGCAATGAGCTCGGGCATGGTGGCTATGGAGTATCTGTTAGCGATGTATGTGGTATCTTAAGACGAAGGAAACCTACCAAAAAGACGAGTCAGGTGCTCTGCACCGTAGATGTCGAGTGGTCCCTTGTCGGCGTAGTCGCCCGAGCCTGCCTCCCACTTTTTGCGGAGAGCCCGGTACTGCTCGCGCTCAAACCGGTATAGGAGAACCTTGTCAAGCGCTTTGTCGAAGTATTCACGCACACCCATGACGACTTCTTCAAGGACGTCCGTATCAGCCGAGCTTGTGCGCTTGGGCTTCTCCTCATTGACGTAGTCGTCCAGGATCTGATTGACCGGGGACTTGGCAGGCAAGGCCACGACTTGCTGGTTCTTGGTGACATTTTCCCAATCATCCACTAGGAGAGACTTCAAATTATCTGGCATTACGATTCTTACGGAAGGCCGCACGTAAAAGCTCTCCTCCTGTGATGACGCAGTTAGTATGTGTGATCAATAGTGCTGTCCCTTGTGCGCACTGTCACTGGCGGTGTGATAGGCTACGGGGAATATTGAAGGCAATAATGCAGCAGACTTACCTTTTCGATATCGTTGTCACGAGCTCTCTTGGTTCCGCGGCCAGGCACTGAGGTTTGCCTTTCCTCGCTGCCTCGGGCGGAACTGCGGTCGGATCCTCCCCTCTTCTTGACAGAGGCTTTGGTGCTCTTCTGGCGGAATGCAGCCTCTGCCTCACGACGAAGAGTGGTGGCTAATTCTCTGTTTTCCTCCGTGAATTTACGAAGGCGGTCTTGGGGAACCCAGTCATCCCAGCTGGAAAGACAGAACAAATGTCAGCAATTGTGGCTCTGACAAGGACACCTCTCCGTTCCGGCGTGATGGTGGCTTCACCGGCAGAAGGGAAATTGCGCGAACCCCGTCCTTCTGCCATGTAGAGCAGAACCACAATTCCATCACAAGGCAGGAGGTAAGAGAATTTGGAGAGATGAAGGGGGATAACACTA